GGCGCACGGGCCCCTCCCTCCGCAGCCTGTCGCTATCCCACCGGCCACAGCTGGCTGGGCCTCCCGGTCACCAGGAGTCACTGGGGTCACCATTCCCCAGGTCACTGGCCGGGGTCCCCAGTTCCGTGCTGGCCCCTGTAACAGCAAACTCCCTCTCTGCTCAGCTTGGGAAACCAGGGACAGAGTGCCCCTCACCCGCATGCAGTCCCCCAAATCCCTCACTTCGTCACACCGTGCCCGCCTGGGTGCCCCCAGCTGCGGAGGGTGGGGGGGTCGCTGCCCCCTGCAGGAAGAAGGCTGTGCTTGAAGAGGGCTTTATGGGTGCTAAGGGGTTGTCTGGTTTAGATCAGCCGGGGTGGGGGGGAAGGGAGTGTTGTGCTAAGCACCCGTCCCTGTTGCTTTTTACATTCCTCTCTTGTCCTTGGCAGGCTGCAGGGTTATGTGTTCAGCTTCCTTCTTTCCCCCCTCCCGAGTGTAAACAGCAGCAGATGGGCCTGGATTCCCCCTCCCAGCCCTGGTCCGCGATCTTCTCTTTTCTCTAAAGAGCAGACAGTAACTGATCCCCAGAACTAGCTCAGCATGTGACAGCTTTGTTTTGCTCCTTCTCCTCCCGGGATCCAGTGGGAAGGAGCAGACGCTCCTGCCCTCAGATTAGGAAGTGGGTTAGGAAGAAACTGGGACGGTTCTTTATGTGCGGGCGATTCCGCCAGTGTCCACTGGGGGGCATCCTCCCCCCTTCCTTGGGAACAGCTGGCCCTCGATGTTGACTGGCTGGATCGCTGGGGCTGCACGAACTCAGGTCTGCACCGTGGCTCGCTCTGGCTGGAGCCAAATGTCTCAAAAGCTGTTTCTTGCAGATCCCGCAGGTTCTGGTTAAGCTCAAGAAATACCCCCAGGGGGAGAAGGTGAGTTGCTGTGGCTGTCGGTGTTCAGTGTGGATTCTCTCTCTCTCTCTCTCTCACTCACACACCCCCGGACCCATGTTTGTCAGGGAGGTGCCTAGGGACCAGACAGATTGGGCACCCTCATGTGCCGGGCACTGTGCACTCAGAGCAGCCAACAGTCCCGTCCCCAAGCAGTGGATGGTCGGATAGCCGGGCAGGCCGCAGGCTTTGTAACTCATTGCATGGACAAGGGACTCCTTGCATCCCCCTTCCCCCCCCCCGCCTCCGTTAGGGTTGCCAACTCTGAAGCTATTCGCGTTGATTTTTCCCCAATGTCACTTTCTTAAAATGCCCAGTGAAAAGCTCCAGGTTGGCTTCCCGTGGTCGCTGGGAGATTGCTGCCGATTCGCTGAGCCCCCCAGGCCAATCCTGGAGGGGTGGCAACTCTACCCCCACTCCCTGGGTGCCACCCTTCTACCGCCCTCTATTTTAGGCCCTTTCTGAAACTCTGCCCCTCTGCCTGGAGTTGGGTTGCGCCTCCCCTAGCAGGGCCCTTCTTCCCCCCAGCCAGTCTGGGACCGTGTTGTGTCACACACTGTGCAGATATACGCCTTGCGCCCTCAGAGGCGTGGGCCCCTCGAATGCTCTGGTCAGTGGGGCTGCTCCCGTCGGTAACTGTTAAGCACACGTGTGAGTCTCAGCCAGATGGGGGCCGCCTGCCCCGAGGGGCTCACAGGGGAGGAGACCAACTCCTGGCCTCGGGGGTGTGAGGGGAGGAGGGGTATCGGCGTAAGAGCTGGTCTAGGTCGAAACGCAGGGGAAGGTTTATAGCCCGTGGTCAGAGTTCCTCTCTGCCTGGCTGCTCTGATCTGTTCTTGCCCCAGCGCTCTTACTCTTACTGTGCGGGGTTTTGTTTCCTGGGGTGAGACCTCCACAAGAAAACACCAGCCCCGCCCGCTTCTCAGCCTCTCACCCTTGTCATGCCACCTTGCAACACGGGGGTGGGGGATCTTTTTTGGGTGGGGGGGCCGCTGACCCCAGAAAAATCAGTCGGGGGCTGCACAGAAGTGAGAAGCAAACAAAAGACCCTTCCCACAGCCCCTCACACATCAGAGCTCAGGGGGGCCCAGGCTGAAAGATTCTGTGGGTCTCTCTGCGCTCTGGGGTGGGGCCAAAAATGAGTTCAGTGTGTGGGAGAGGGCGGCTGGGAAGCAGGCTTGGGATGTGGGTGGAAGGGAGGGTGCAGGAGCGGAGGGGGGTGAGGGGACTGCAAGGCTGGAGTGCCAGTGCCGGCTTCCCACTGTGGAGGGGGGAGGGCTGGAGTGCCAATGCCGGCTTCCCAATGTGGAGGGGGGAGTCCCAAGACTCGGGGGGCAGATCCGGCCCCCGGGCCGTAGGTTCCCCACCCCTGCTGTAATGCATGAATGGAGGTCCGGGCCTGCCGCTCCCATTGGTGCTGAGGGTCCTGTTCCCACGGTGTTGTGACTTCAGTGAGAGCTGGTGTGTGCGAGTATCAGGCTCTGGCTGCCCGATAGGTGCGGACCAGCCAGCCTGCCGCTGGCCCGCCCGTGTGAAGCTGCGCCAGGTGAGGCAGCTGATGGGGAAGACGCAAGCCCGGGTTTCGAGGCGGCTTTGGTGCCTCAGCTGAAAGCGCCGCTTGGGCCTCGCGAAGCGAGCGCTGAGCGAACACTCGCCTCTTGTGTTGCTGCAGGATTTCACCGAGGACGTGAATTGTGCCTT